CTTAGTTACACTTATGGATATTCATATGGCTAATCGACCAGATATTCATATTGTTGTTCGACCAGATATTCACATGGCGCCTCTCTCAACCATAACCTCACTGCCCAACGTCCAATATAATTACCAACACACACAGACCAATGCACAAATACCTTTTATTGATAACGAATGTAAAGAGTATATGAGTTATATTATTATGTCTCCGACGCAACAAATTGGATCTTTTATAACGTAACGCAATTTACGAGATGTGAATAGGTATATGTCATCATTAAACCTTTTTCAATATGGCAAGGTTATATGATACAAAGAGAATATATATTATACGTGGATATGTGTGCTGGGTTGTGTACAATATATGAAAGGGCTGAACAAGGTTATATCAGGCGTGTTATTGTGGAAGGGGAACAACATGGTAGGCAGCATCTGTAAGAGCGGTGAGTGGAGGGTAAGGGGTGTTTACTGTTGGCTCTGAGAATGGACGTGTGAGAGGTTGCAAGGGTGGGAGATGTTGCTATGGAATGAGAAGTTGTAAGGGTGGAAGATGATGCCAGGGTGAGATAGGTTGTAATGATGTTAAATGCTGCAACAGTGGTAGAGGTTGCAAGATTGTGAGGATTTTCAAGAGTGTATGTTGTAAGAGTTTAAACGTTTGCAAGAGTGGGAAAGGTTTTAAGATTGGGAGAGATTGAAAAATCACACGAAGGTTTGTAACAGGAGAATAATAGGGGTGTGTGTGTGTGTGTGTGTGTGTGTGTGTGTGTGTGTGTGTGTGTGTGTGTGTCAAACACAAGGAGGAGAGATTAACGAGAGACAAGTAAACAAGGAGTGAGAGGAAAGACAAATACACAAGAGGAAGTAAAAATATACAAACAATTTAACAAAATAGTGACTAAAGAGTTTGAAGAAGCAGCAAGTAATTAGCGGCAGATAATTAGTGTGTCGTAAAATGTGTTTCTTTGAGAACGTAAAGTATGGACGTGGATGTGAACGTAAAGTATGGACATGGGTGTGAACGTAAAGTATGGACGTGGGTGTGAGCGTAAAGTATGGACGTGGGTGTGAACGTAAAGTATGGACGTGGGTGTGAACGTAAAGTATGGACGTGGGTGTGAACGTAAAGTATGGACGTGGGTGTGAACGTAAAGTATGGACGTGGGTGTGAACGTAAAGTATGGACGTGGGTGTGAACGTAAAGTATGGACGTGGGTGTGAACGTAAAGTATGGACGTGGGTGTGAGCGTAAAGTATGGACGTGGGTGTGAACGTAAAGTATGGACGTGGGTGTGAGCGTAAAGTATGAACGTGGAATATGAACGTCATTTCCCCAGTATGAGGTACCCATTCACAGCGGGGACGACTATGGGTGCCTCAAGTCACGTCTGTCCATGTAAACACGGTCAGTAAGGGCGGTCACCCTAGACTCCTAGAGTTCCTACCCAGAATAAATCCGCCGAGCGTTGATTTTTCAACGAACTCCTCAAGTTGTCTCTACAGCGATAACTTATTTGTTATCTAAAGCGGGGCGATACGGAGAGTCAGAAAATCCACGGTAAGGTGGGTTGAAATTTGCTGTAGTCTATTGTATTAATAATATTTACACCGTTCTTATTTTTTCGTATTGATGTTAAAATGTAAAAAAAATATATAAATTGTATTTAAATAACAAAACACGATTAAAAATGTCATAGTAAATAAAAAAATAATAATCGTACATCACGATGGGATTTCATTTGATTTTTAGAGTACTTGCGTCACTTTTGTAACATCGCTTGGCACTGCAATCGTTATTTTTCGTCTTGATCTTCTTCAACAGGACCACACATCTCACTAAAGAGGTTAATGCTGCCATGGAAAACATACAATAACACCATCCTGATCTTCAACTGAGCTCAAACTAGCAGCGTGAGCTGAGCGCCTGGCTAATGGCTCCTTTCGCCAGTGTGACCAGTGTGCGGGTCGTACCGTTGACTTATTGCCTGTGGATGAGATGCTGTCCGTGGATTCATTGGACGGAAAACTCTAGTATGACCGTCGCTTAACACACACACACACTTTACTATACTTTTCATGTGTTGTGTGGCCGATATATTGCGGCTGTGTGGCTGAAGCACTGCGTTTGTGTGGTTGAGGGGCTGCGGCTGTGTGGTTGAGACACTGCAGCTGTGTGGTTGAGGCGCTGCGGTTGTGTGGTTGAGACGCTGCAGCTGTGTGGTTGAGACACTGCAGCTGTGTGGTTGAGGCGCTGCGGTTGTGTGGTTGAGACACTGCAGCTGTGTGGTTGAGACACTGCAGCTGTGTGGTTGAGGCGCTGCGGTTGTGTGGTTGAGACGCTGAAGCTGTGTGGTTGAGACGCTGCAGCTGTGTGGTTGAGGCGCTGCGGTTGTGTGGTTGAGACGCTGCGGCTGTGTTGTTGAGACACTGCAGCTGTGTGGTTGAGGCACTGAAGCTGTGTTGTTGTGAAGCTGCTGCTTTGTGGCCATCTAGCTGAAGTGCAGGCTGCGTCTGTGTGGCTGCGGTTGTGGTTTTCATGTAAGCTTGGTGTAGAATCCTGCTCACCACAGCTCTTGTTAATCCAGTCGCTAAATGGTGTTAATTTGGGGGAGTTGGGGGCTTTCATGGCACCATCATCAGTGTAATGAGAGCGAGTTAGCGAGGCTCGTTGTTACCTCAGTGTTGGGCCGTAAGGAGAGAATGGGTGTACTTTGTCGCTGATGTGTGTAGACCCCGAGCACTGACGTCACAGCCATCATAGCAACCAGTAAGAACAGTGTCAGTGGATGGCAGCTGAGACTAACGTTGGAAGAGCTAAGAAGGGCTTGTTAGTCGGGTATCATGACAGACTTACATGTACAGATGGGGGATATTGTCTCAATTAATATATAATTCCAACACATAAATGACTCGACGTCGTTAAATGGGTGTCGATCTCGTAGAGTGCATCCACGTTGGTCTGTACTTGCTGAGTACATCCACGTTGGTCTGTAATTGCTGTTGTCACGAGGCTCGTACACTAAAGAACAGTAAATGAACTATGAAAGTCTTGTTTGTTATGAGAATCTTGCCAATGGAGGAAGGAAAGTGGAGAGAGAGAGAGAGAGAGAGAGAGAGAGAGAGAGAGAGAGAGAGAGAGAGAGAGAGAGAGAGAGAGAGAGAGAGAGAGAGAGTCTGGTGAAGAATTCGCTAAATAATGGCTCATGTGACCTGTGACCTTCTAAAAGACGAATCTTTCTTATATATTGTTGATAACTTAGTCAAGGTCACATCAGATCAAATGGGCCACATGCACAGGTTCTACACCAGCATCAGAGACTATGCTCACACTACCGTTGTTACATATGTCTGATGTAAAGTGCTCTTGGAATTTGGGTTAATAACTTCTATCGTCGGTTCTGCTTTAAATCCTTTAACGATAACAGATGGTATACGGTATAACCTTCTTCAATTTTAATGGATTACGTTATGTTATAATATCATGTTATGTTATTTTATGTTATGCTTTGTTATGTCATCTTACGCTATGTTATGGTCTGCTATCTTATGTTATCTTATGCTATATTATGCTATGTTATGTTATGTTATACTATGTTATGTCCCCCAAGATATAGCACCAATCATAAGAGCCCGTGATGTGTGACGTCATAATACAAAGCGTTTCTTGGCGCTAATTGGTCAACTCTGAGTTACAACTGGTGTGCATTCGTAAATAAATATATTAAATCTTCCGTTTTTCAAGTTTTCGTATTAAAAAAAAAAAGTTTCGGAGTTAATATAGAAAAATTAGATTTTTTTTTTGTAATGAGGCTAAAATTGGGTATTAATACATACTGTATAGGCCTACATCAGTTCCCAGGTTCCCCTCCGAAACCATGACTCTCAAAGATATTCAACTTAAAGGAGAAGGAGGGAGGGGTGGGGGGGAGGGAGGGGAGGGAGGGGAGGGGAGGGAGGGGAGGGGAGGGGGAAGGGAGGGGTGGGGAGGAGGGGGAGGGGAGGGGTGGGGAGGGGGGTGGGAAGGAGGAGGAAGTGAGGTCTCGGTAGAATTGTGTGTTTTCTGTAAATTCCTTTGTTTACAGTATATATACATTGATTACGTTGAACTTACTGTAAAATACATCCAACCATTGATAAGGTTGATGTATAATGTATAATAATGTATACAAAAGCCAGTACTGTATAATGGCGTAGATACCCAGGAGCACGTATTACAGCACGTATTGATATTAACACCTAACACGTAATAGCACCAACACCTACTAACACACACATACGAAACACCAACCATAACTCAGTCAGATCAAACTTTATAATGAATGAGTTTAACCAAGTCGAATTTTATGAAAAGTTTCCAGCATAATTTCAACACCAAAATATAAATTCAACACAAAAAAAATTAAGACTTTAATTTCTCAAAATGTTTCGTCTTAGCAATGTAGTTAAGACCTGTAAAACCTGGGTAATTAAAACAACAGGTAAGAGATGAGGTCTTTTAAAATATATAATAGCAATTGTTAAGAAATGGGGCCACTTCCATAAAGGTAAAATGTATAAAAATAATGAGTGGAAAATTGCATGTAAATTTGTGTACTTATTAATAATTCAAGAAACATAATTAAATCAGTGGAAACGTAGACAGACATTCAGGTGGAAAGAGAAGGAAAGAAGAGACAAAGAAAGGAAGAGAGAATAAAGTGAGTAAATAAACACACGTTGATAAAGGAGAACAGACATTTGGTGTAAATCCTTAACAGAGAGAGAGAGAGAGAGAGAGAGAGAGAGAGAGAGAGAGAGAGAGAGAGAGAGAGAGAGAGAGAGGAGAGAGAGAGAGAGAGAGAGAGAGAGAGAGATGAAGATGATGAAGAAGATACACAGAAAGGAAAAGGAGATGAGATAAAGAGGAAATTATAAAAATAGAGATATGGCAACAGCATGATGAAAGAGAGAAGAATGAAGGGACTAACATAGAGACAGGCCATTAGACACACACACAGAGGACGTACCTGTAGGCCACCAGGGACACGACCAACAGCAGGAGCACCACGCCCCCCGTCACGCCCGCTATGATCTCCCCCATCTGAGCTGTGGAGAGAGAGGGAGGAGTTAGTATGAGATCTGTAGGCAGGGGAGGTGGTGGGGAGGGTGGGTGGGGGGTGGTGGTGGTGGGGGAGGTGGTGGGGGGGGGAGGGGTGGTGGGAGGGGCAGGGGAGGGGTGGTGGGGAGGGGGTGGTGGGGAGGTGGTGGTGGCGGGAGGGGTGGTGGGGGAGGGGGCAGTAATGGAGGTGGGTGGGGAGGTGGTGGTGGGGGGGGTGGTGGGGAGGTGGGGGAGGGGGTGTGGTGGGGAGGTGGGGGGAGGTGGTGGGGGAGGGTGGGGGAGGTGGTGGTAAGGAGGGTGGGGGAGGGTAGAATGGAGGTGGTGGGGGTGGTGTAGGTGGGGGAGGTGGTGGGAGGGATGGTGGGGAGGTGGTGGTAAGGGAGGGGGTGGGGAGGGGGTGGTGGGGGAGGTGGTGGTGGTGGTGGGTGGTGGTGGTGGGGGAGGTGTGGTGGGGGAGGTGGTGGTGGTGGGAGGTGGTGGTGGTGGGAGGAGGGGGTGGTGGGGGAGGGGTGGTGGGGGAGTGCAAGTGGTGGTGTGGGCGGTGGGGGGTGGTGGTAGGCAGGAGGGGTGGTGGGGAGGTGGTGGGGGAGGTGGTGGGGGAGTGTGGTGGGGGGAGGTGGTGGTGGGGAAGGGGGTTAATGTGAGATGTGAGGTCAAATTACAATAGGGGTCCATTACAGTAAGGTCATATTAGAATAGGAGTTGGGATATAATCCTATTAGTAAGATCAGGTTAACTTAGACAGAACGAGAGGAACCTATTATGACAGAAAAACCTATTATACAGGTAATTGGAACCTATTAAGACTAGGGTCTAATAGAACGTGGGGTTCACTATAACCAGGGGTCCACCATAACCAGGGGTCCACTATAACCAGGGGTCCACTATAACCAGGTGCCTATTATAACCAGGTGCCTATTATAACCAGGTGCCTATTAGAACTTGCGGCTTATCAGAACCTGGAGCCTAAAATATTCTGGAACCAATCAGAACCCAGGGCCTAATGGGATTGGTGCCCAAGTAGACCTGTAAGCATAAGACCTGGGCTACTCACACTGACACTGCTGGCCCCTGTACCCACACGGAGGCTCGTCGATGGGCGGCGATCCTGTCTTCCAGGGTATTTGGCTGAGTAAGTGTAGCTCCTGTTGAAGGCAGAGACGGGCGTTAGTGACAGGGTATTTGACAGGTTATTTGACAGGGTATATGACAGGGTGAATGACAGGGTAAGTGACAGAGTATTTGACAGGGTATTTGACAGGGTATATGACAGGTTATTTGACAGGGTATATGACAGGGTATATGACAGGGTATATGACAGGTTATTTGACAGGGTATATGACACGGTATATGACAGGGTATATGACAGGTTATTTGACAGGGTATATGACAGGGTATATGACAGGGTATATGACAGGTTATTTGACAGGTTATATGACAGGGTATATGACAGGGTATATGACAGGTGTTTGACAGGTATATATGAGACAGGGCATTTGACAGGGTATATGACAGGGCATATGACAGGGTATAGACAGGGTATATGACAGGGTATATGACAGGGTATATGACAGGTTATTTGACAGGTTATATGACAGGGTATATGACAGGGTATATGACAGGGTATATGACAGGGTATATGACAGGTTATTTGATAGGGTATATGACAGGGAATATGACAGGGTATATGACAGGGCATATGACAGGGTATATGACAGGGTATTTGACAGGGTATATGACAGGGTATATGACAGGGTATATGACAGGGTATTTGAATTTTCTTTCTTTAGTTTTTAGGTCTATATTTACGCCTCCTACATAAGAACAACAGTCCTATATACTAAGGCCAACCGGCAGTCAGACTTAATAACACAGACTCTCGCCTTGTAGGGCAGCTGCACCCCAAGTTGACTGCTAGGGTGGTTAATACAGTGGAACTCGCTCCTCTTAGAGTGCGCTAAAACAAGTGCGTGAAGCGGTGGTCTTCTGGAGCAGGTATTTCATATGGTACAATTTGGGGGATATAACGATATAATAGTGTCCAAGATATTGGTAGTTTGGATGAACTTCCAGAAGTCGTCAAAGGTTTTGTTAGGTGGCAACAAGGAGAGTGACCCATCTCTGTCTGTCTGTCTGTCTGTCTGTCTGTCTGTCTTTCTCCCCCTCCGTCTCTCCCATAAGTTTTTCTTGAGGTGTTGGCAACGTACCCACTTGAGATAATGTTCTTTGATGTACTGGCAGACTCCTCCCCTGTGGCTCTGAGCCTATCCCCCACCCTACTATAGCAACCCTCAATATTTCATTTCTCTCAGGTTCACCTCTCAAGTGTCATAGAATCAACATACTTCTGAAGATTCACCTTGAAGTATGCACTCTAAGACAACTTGCAGGGAGTAGTGGCCCCCTGAGGTCATGTAAGTAAAATGTGCCAAGATATTCCTTCAAGTATTGAGTATAACTTGAAGCATCGTTACCCTTTTCCTCTCCCCCGTCCTCCTCAAGGTATATTTTATTGATATGTACTGTATAAATCACACCAAACAGTATCTTTACGGGGGGTCTAATGCATTTTATAATGAACACTGCGACTCCTGTTGTCTCGTGTAGGGTTGTCAAAATCTTTAGTCCGTTGTGTTATATTATCTCACACAAAATCGTAAAGATAGTTAGTGTGGCGAACGTCATGTTGTAATATTCAAGTTTTTCTTTAGGTGTTTTAACCAATTGAGTATGATAGTTTGATGTAATTGATGATTATAACATATATTATAATCCTCAAAGAGTTATTATCTATCGTCCTCAAAGGGTTATAGTTTAAACCATCGTCCTCAAAGGGTTATAGTTTAAACCATCGTCCTCAAAGGGTTATAGTTTAAACCATCGTCCTCAAAGGGTTATAGTTTAAACCATCGTCCTCAAAGGGTTATAGTTTAAACCATCGTCCTCAAAGGGTTATAGTTTAAACCATCGTCCTCAAAGGGTTATAGTTTAAACCATCGTCCTCAAAGGGTTATAGTTTAAACCATCGTCCTCAAAGGGTTATAGTTTAAACCATCGTCCTCAAAGGGTTATAGTTTAAACCATCGTCCTCAAAGGGTTATAGTTTAAACCATCGTCCTCGAAGGGTTATAGTTTAAAACCATCGTCCTCAAAGTTTAAACCATCGGTTAAATTTAAACCATCGTCCTCAAGGGTTATAGTTAAACCATCGTCCTCAAAGCGGGTTATAGTTTAAACCATCGTCCTCAAAGGGTTATATAGTTTAAACCATCGTCCTCAAGCGGTTATAGTTTAAACCATCGTCCTCAGCGGGTTATAGTTTAAAACCATCGTCCTCAAAGGGTTATAGTTTAAACCCATCGTCCTCAAAGGGTTATGTGATTAAACCATCGTCCTCAAAGGGTTATAGGCTTAAACCATCGTCCTCAAAGGGTTATAGTTTAAAACCATCGTCCTCAAAGGGTTATAGTTTAAAACCATCGTCCTCAAGGGTTATAGTTTAAACCATCGTCCTCAAAGGGTTATAGTTTAAACCATCGTCCTCAAAGGGTTATAGTTTAAACCATCGTCCTCAAAGGGTTATAGTTTAAACCATCGTCCTCAAAGGGTTATAGTTTAAACCATCGTCCTCAAAGGGTTATCAGGCTGTCACTATAATCTCCTGAACCATCTCCAGTTCCTCTTCTGTATCGTACACCTTAGTAAATATCATATAAGGTGTAAGCACAAAAAGTGTATCCCTAAAAATTTCTTCTGAGGTGTAACCCAACATCTCTGACAGGTGTACCTTTGACGTGTGGGTGTAGAGTGTGGGTGTATGTGGGTGTAGGATGTGGGATGTAACACAAGAGGGGCCATGCACTTACCGGGAGGCCCTTGTAGTCGTTCTCAGTGTACCGGAAGCCTCCAACAGGGTACAGGCCAAACTCCTCCGTCATAGAGTGGTGTTCCTGCCGCCCGATCAAGGTATAGTTGCCTTCTGCGTCACCCCGTTCGTCCATACGCACCATATATCTGTAGGGGGTACCAGGCGAGGATGATAATGATGATGATGATGATGATGATGATAATAATAATGATAATGAGAGAGAGAGAGAGAGAGAGAGAGAGAGAGAGAGAGAGAGAGAGAGAGAGAGAGAGAGAGAGAGAGGTGGAGTGAATGAGCGAGTGAGAGTGAAAGAGTTAGTGAGAGTGAATGAGTGAATGAGTGGCAGAGTGAGTGAACGAATGATAGTATTAGTGAATGAGAGTGAGTGATAGATTTAGTGATAGAGCGAAGGAGTGAAGCAGACCTTCTACCCGTCTCAGTGATTCATTACCTAATTTTCTACACGAACTTTGGAAATAAATGTTCATCTAATTCAATGAAAACAATATTAAAGAAGCTCAGATTACGTTAGGTTAGGTTAGGTTATGTTAGGTTAGGTTATGTTAGGTTAGGTTAGGTCTGGGTGTTTAATCTTCACGTAATCCGAAATCATTAAACATTAGACAGAGGAAGGCGGTGGACAGGTGTATACAACATTCCTCTACTGTCCTTATGGTTGCTGGTTCGAGTAGGCCGCCCCCAGTCTATCCTACTGTGGAATGGTCGAGTACAATGACCGCCTGACTGACCCCTTGTGTACAAAAAATTTAAGTGAGCAGTGTGCTGTATCCAACACTACCTCTAACATGCACTTTAACTTGTTCACTTTATTTATCTATGTACATTCGTGTATAGAAATGTGTGTGTGTGTGTGTGTTGTTTGGGGACTATGGGAGTGACCTACCCCATGGCACTGCGGTAGGTGGTGCCCAGAATGGAGGCGATGAGTGCCCGGCCATCATGAGGGTCGCCGCCCACCTTCAGGGTCTCGTTGAGGGCGCGGGCGTAGACATGAACAGCATCGTACAGGTAGGCAGCCTCGGCACGGATCTGTTGGGGAGACGTACAGTGTTAAGGAGAGGTTGGAGGTGTTTACTTCAGGTGGTTAAGGAAGTGTAAAGGGGAAGTTGCTGTAACTCTATGATGAAAACGTCTTAATCCCCTCTAACGGTAACTTATACACACCCACCACCCTACACACCCATGTCCTTCACCCTATACACACCCACCACCCTACACACCCATGTCCTTCACCCTATACACACCCACCACCCTACACACCCATGTCCTTCACCCTATACACATACACCCTTCACTCTACTAAGCTTACTAAGCAGAACCGTTTACACACAACTCATATCGCTCATATTTTTTAAGCTTCCCATCGTTTTCAGGTTAATGTTGATGTTCGGTATTGTGTTGCACTCGTCCACTACTCCCCAAACCAGTGTTTACTTATCTCGCGCCTAAATCTAAATTTGTCTAATTTAAAACAATTGCTACGAGTTCGCTCCTGGTTATATAGGTTAAGTACTTTAATTACATCACATTTTCTTTACCTTGACCTCCATTTATACACCTCGAGGGTGTTCAAATTCAGATGCTTCAATATATCTCTGTACTCAAGATTCCTAATGCCCAGGATTAGTCTTGTCATCCTCATCTGAATGCTTTCTAGGTAGTCGATATCCATTTTGTATTACGGTGACCAAAACTGAACACCCATAATCAAAGTGAGGTCTTTAACGGGCAATGTTCGGTGGATTTGGCATCCTGTGTACTGCCGGCAAGGCCGTCGGTTCGTAACACACCTCTTGACCGCGGTGCCCACCGTTTCTCTGTGGATGTCGGTCACACTAGACTAACCTGTTATAGTGCATCCTTCTTTCCTCACACAACCAAACTGTGGAATGCTCTGCCTTCTTCTGTGTTTCCATACTCATACAATCTGACTCACTTTAAAAAGCTGGTTTTCCGGCATCTCCGTGGGGGAGATTAATATAACCTTTTTTTTTCTATTTTTAATTTCTTTCTATTCTTATTTTTTCGTCCCCTAGGCCCCGTTGTGGGTCGTTCGACCTGTGCCCGGGTGAGCTAATTACCATAAATAAAAAAATGGATGTATACTGTAGATGTACACCCACGTAAGTTGACCCACCCTGCTGTAATTATAGTGAGATTAAGACCTGACCCAACAGAGGTTACGGTCACAATGAAACAGAGTTCTCACCGCCGTGTGGTTAGACAAACCATCGACATGATCTTGTTAACTCAAGAAACTACCCTACCATCCAGTACACCTGACACCTGGCCAGACACACCAATATAAGGGGCCTACAGCTCCTTCTGTGAGACAGATAAGGAGAGACAGAACTCAGAGGAAGACGGAGTCACACCCGTCACAAGTCGAAGTCAGAAAGTGGACTTCCCTCCCCAACACCGAGTCTCCAGCTAGCAGAGTCTCCCACCTGGACCACTCTCTTCAGCAGCCCCTGCAGACAGACACCCAGCCACTGGGTTTCCCTCAGGATACATGTGAGTCATTGTCACAGCGATCCATAAGCTGAGTTTCTTACGGTGGGAAGTGTATCCATTTCATGCTTGTGTCCGTCAATATACTGATCTATTAATGTGTCCAAGCCATTCAGTTAAATAATAAATAATAAACAGCTGTACTGAGAAGTGTTGTTTATAAGATTTCCCCTAAGAACATAATACCAAGTCAAACACCTAGTCGGCCACACTACCAAACTTCCTCACTTTACAATCCTCCTACTGTAAATTCTTCTTATACTTTCTACCCGAGCTCGCCCTCATTACAGTGGTGGGAGCATCTTTGAAGTAAACCCACGCCTCTTTCCTTAGTCAGTCAATACACTGGTGGCAGAGTACTTAACGTATACCCACGCCCTATCTTTGTCAGTCATTACATATATATATTAAATAGTAATGGTCCAAGTACTCAGCCTTGGGGTAATCCACTAGTGACGTTATTCCAATTATATTTAGTGCTATTAATGCTGACGCTCTGTTTCCTATCCTGCAGCCACGCCCTAGTCCAGTTTAGAACGTGTCCGTCATCCATGCTGGGAATCATTGTCAACTTTTGTTTCTCAAGGTGATTTCGAATTGAGAATGAAATTTTGGCTTCCAGCAATTTTCCTTCAATTGGTGTTAAATTGATTGGATGGAAGTTAGAGGATAGTGAATATCTCACTCCTTGAAAATTGGTAGCATATTCGCTATCTTCCAGGATTCTGGTACTGCACCCGTTTTTAATGACATGTTTAACAAGTAGGGCATATTATGTTTTTCTTTACATTCCTTTAATACTCTGTCAAATATCTCATCGGGACCTGGTGACTTAATAGGCTTTAGTTTATCTATTTGTTTACTAACATCGTCCCTAGTCACTATACTATCTCGCTTAATCTATTTTTTTCACTATCTCTGCAGATAGTCGGTGCCATGGGTATCATATTTAAATTTTCGGTATGTGAGAACTAATGAAAAACATCTGTTCAAAATGTTGCTCCAAAACTGTATTTATTGAATTTACTAGAAAGGTCAGGAAACATATAAGAAAATTAAAGACAAATTATAAAGTAAAAGTAGCAAGAAAGGCGAGAGCAAACCTTAAATGTTTCTTCCAAATGTACCAAACTAAAACACATGACAAGGTTGGACCAATACAGTCAAATACCGGTGAGCTAACTGATAACAAAGGGGAAATGAGCAATAACCAGAACAGATATTTTTCATAATTTTTCACAACCACTGGAGACTTATGTTACAAGATTATAATTTAGTTATTCAGCATATCACGGGTAAATTTAATATTGTGGCAGACGCCTTGTCTCGCATTCCACTTAGCCATGACTCATGCCTCTTTTGGGAAGGGGGGGGAGGGGGGGGTGTTGCATATGTTTACATACCGGTATATTAATTTTGTATTAGTCACTGATGCAAGAGCAGTTTTCTTTGAACCAAGCATAAATGAAAGATGTATGTATTTCGTTATAATTAGTTACTTTTTTGCATTTAATGTGAATTATTTTGGTTCTATGTAGTTCCTGACATTTTGTAATCACATAATATTATGAATTTGTTTAAAGAAGTTTTGAGTGTATATTTTTAGTTGTGAAAGATATACTGTTGGTGTTCTTCTAGAAGCTCCAAGCAGACACAGGGTGTGAACCAGGACCCAGGAGATATGTGACTATATCTTATTTTATCCATCACATGTTTTAGTGTCAATTTGCTCCCCAGTGTTAAGGGTGAATGTTGGGTGATATTTTGTGAACGGAAGGAGAGCCATATTGTGAAATTAAGACAGATAAGCTACTGAATTAGTTGGGTCACAGGGCCATGCTGTATCGTTGTCCGTAATCTTGTTTTTTTGTAAATATGTTAAGTTTAGTTGTTACAAAATGGTATTACTTCGAAGTCCTTGGATGTGTGGTCACAGTGCAATTGTATGTATATGTCATCTGCAACTGTCAGCTGGTGGTAACAAAGGTTTGTCTACATGATTCTGGTCTGTTAACCAAAGTTGTTATTTCAGAACGTGAGTCTGATTACTGGGCCTAGGGGTTGAATCCCTGCTGGAAGATGAGGAATATTCAATGACACCCTTCAACCTACACACCCACACCCTACACACCCACACCCTCCACCCTACACACCCTCTATCCTACACACTTACACCCACACCCTACACACCCACACCCTCCACCCTACACACCCATACACACCCCACACACCCACACCCTCACACCCTACACCACACACCCTACACACCCACACCCACACCACACCCTACACACTCCACACCCCACACACCACACACCCTCCACCCCACACACCCTCCACCCACACCCTCCACCCCACACACCTCCACCCACACTCCACCATACACACCACATCCTCACCTCACACACTTCACACCTCACCCTACACACCATATACACACTCCTAACACCCACACCTCCACCTACACACCCTCCACCCTTTCTCCCTAATGACAGCAAAAGTGACTCCAAGCCAAAAGTTATTCCTCCATTTCCTTGATTACTGTGTGTGTGTGTGTGTGTGTGTGTGTGTGTGTGTGTGTGTGTGTGTGTGTGTGTGTGTGTGTGTGTGTGTGTGTGTGTGTGGTGAACCCTGCCACTACTACTACTTTGCTATCACTCGGAATCGAGTATAACGATCATCCAGCTATGATACAATGATATGAGTTATTAAGGATGTCACCTACAGTAGGTTGGTGAGCTCTGAGGTGACTAAAGAGGCCGATACGGGACCGGCAGGGTGTTCACAGATGTTGCACATGTGGAGGGCTACATCTAGTGCGGGAGGGGCGGCGGCAGCGTCTTTCCGGTGTTGGCAATTGTCTGCCTCGTTATGCAGTCGATGCTAACTCCAAAGTATTGACACCTTCTTGTGTGGTGCTCCTCCAAGCGTTACGGTGTGGAGTAATCGTCTCCCAGGTGAGGGGGTCGATTTGGCACTTTTTTCATGTTTGTCTTAAGACTTTCCTTATACCTTTTCAGTTGCCCGCAGGCGTTACATTTACTATTCGTTAGGTGACTGTAAAGTAGCTGCTTTGGCAGTCTACTGTCGTCCATGTGGGTAACATGGCCAGTCTAGCGTAGTTGTTCATGGATAATGGTAGCCTCGATGCTCCTACAGTTGGTGTCAGCGAGAATACTGGAATTTGTTCTCTTGTCTTCCCAGCAAACTCGGAGGATAGAACGTAGACTACGTTGGTGAAAGTTTTCAAGTGCCTTGAGGTGTCTCCTGTATGTGATCCATGTCTCCCTACCAATGGTGAGATGAATGTGGGTGGTGGAAAATTTGAGGTGGGTGGGCGTGTGAGAGTCAGGCTTGGTGCGTGGGTGTGTGTAAGTCAAGCTTTGTAGGAAGGCGTGTGTGAATCAGACTTGGTGGGTGGGCGTGTGTGAGTCATGCTTTGTGGGTGGGCGTGTGTGAGTCATGCTTTGTGGGTGGGCGTGTGTGAATTAGACTTGGTGGGTGGGCGTGTGTGAGTCAGGGTTGGTGCGTGGGCGTGTGTGAGTCAGGGTTGGTGCGTGGGCGTGTGAGAGTCAAGCTTGGTGGATGTGATGATTCAATCGCTTGAGTATGATAATTTAACCTCTTGAGTACGATAACATTAATCCCTTGAGTACGGTGACTTAACCTCGTGAGTAAGATAACCTTACTCATTGAGTACGTTGATTAAACCCCCTGAGTACAATATCAACGTACTCAAAGGAAAAGGTCATCATATAAGAGTTAAAACAACGTACTCAAAGGATTAAAGAGTACAAACGATCCTCAAAATGGCAGCAACATTACACTCGGACTCTACCTTCACTTAATGGGAAATAAAATAAGGGAAAGAAAGATAGAGAAAGAAAGAAAGAATGAGGGATAGAGAAAGAGAGAGAGAAAAGAGAACAAGAGAACGAAATAAAAATGAAAAATAAAATCTAATAAAATAACAAATACAAAATTAAATGAATAAGAAAGAAAGAAGTGACCTCAATACTCACATGACCTCTGTACAGTGACCTCTCACACATTTTTCGAACATTCAATGAATAAAGCTGCATTATATTTTTACTCCCTGAATAGATTGAGTTTTTTTTTCTACTTAAACGAAATAGAATTAAATGTATTTACGCAGAACCTGAACAATTTTGTTTTGTTTTTGGATTACCTGTAGATTAGCCACAGTTTACTTCACCTGACGATTAAGCACTTTACTAGAGTGGTGCCACGTCTCAAAAAAAAAATGCACCAATCACTGTACCAGGTATAACTGCAGGCGACTGTACCTGCTATGTAGCCTCAAGTTTGGTGTTTCTGTAGCCATGTGAGACTAAATGGTCCACCAATAACGAGACCGAGATCGATACTTTTCGCAATTCTAGTCTTTATGGTAGCTACTGAGGTCCACCGTCACCTGATCATTAGCCCCCCCCCCCCCACCAGGTAACACCACATACGTTTTCAGTATTGTCAACACAAGCATCAAATCAGCAACTTAATACATGGAAAATAGTTCATGTATGAAATGCTGCCACTTTCCATTCTATTACACATACTGTACATTGCTAACCGCAGTACTTTTGATAGTATTATTATGTAGTCTTATGTATTGGGGTGGTTAAACTTCAGCTGGTAAGATAAGCTAGGGGCCATTTTCAGGTGAGTAAAGATAATTAACTTCACTTAAAACTTAGCCCCCTAGATTACGGTAGCGTTGGGGGACAATTTATTTCTTTATTATATCTTGAGGTCACATCTACAGGTGATTTTTTTTTTTGCCACATTAGTGTATCTCGCGGCTAAATACACGTTCAGCCAGGGCATTAGAGGCAGATGGGTCAGCGTCAGATTAACCAGTGATGGATACTTGACCATATTTGGCTGACGGAATCGAATTGGTGTCACATCTCTACCATGAGTCACCTTGCTTAAGAAAATTTACCATGAAACAAAAAGAATAAACTAGGTAAAAACAAACAAATAAGCAAACACAAACAACTGAATAAACACAAACAAAAAAACCCATAAAACTACTTTACAAACAAACAAACCGAGTAAACAAGAAAACGGAAGCAAACAATAACAACTCACGTTCTTCATGCCTCCTATCTGCTGAAGGGCGTTGGGGTGGTTGAAGGGAGGTCTCTCTAGGTAGGCGTTCACGTTCTCGGCGAAGCGTTCAAACGTCGGCGCTGGCGATGGTACGACACCTGTTGGTATAAGAGAGAGGGAAGTGAGAGGCTGATCTATCTATCTATCTCTCTCTCTCTCTCTATCTATCTATCTATCTATCTATCTATCTTCTAACTTATTAACATATCTACCTACCTACTTGTCTACCTATCGACTAATCGAGGTTTTAATCGACACATGTTTTAATCGAGAACGGAAAGACCTTCCTTGGTAAGCCACCACCTGACGATGTCGCTCAGTAAGTTAGAAAACAGACGATAATTACCTCAGTTTTCTTGTTACAATGTGAGGAGGAGAGATAACGGGCTAGTGCATGATACCTCCTACCTCCTCCTCACCACACCTCGCCGCCGCCTCCTCCTCCTCCTCCTCCCTCCTCCTCCCTCCTCCTCCTCCTCCTCCTCCTCCTCCTCCTCCTCCTCCTCCTCCCACTCTTCCTCTTCTCCCACCACACCACACCACACTCCTTCTCCTCCCTCTCCTCGTCCTCCTCACCACCACACTTGTACACCACACCTCCTCCTCCACCCACCACACCACACCTCTTTCTCCTCCCTCTCCCGTCCCTCCCACCACCACACTTGCCACCACACCTCCTCCTCCACCACACCACACACACACTCTCCTCTCCTCGTCCTCCCTCACCACCACACTTGGCCACACCTCCTCCCTCCACCACACCACACTCCTTTCTCCCTCTCCTCGTCCTCCCCACCACGCACACCCCTCTTTCTCCTCCCTCTCCTCGTCCTCCTCACCACACCTCCTCCTCCACCACACCACACCTCTTCTCCCCTCTCGTCCCCTCACCACCACTTTGTACGCCACACCTCCTCCTCCACCACGCCACACCACCCTTCTCCTCCCTCTCCCCGTCCTCCCACCACCACACTTGAACACACCTCCTCCTCCACCACACCACACCACACCTCTCCTCCCTCTCCTCGTCCCCCACCACCACAATTGACATTTTCCACGAACAGACATTTTTATTGTGTATTATTCAGTTGGTTGCTTGGTTGAGAGTTTCCTTTGAGGGACGAAGAGAAATGCTGTTTTTTTTCGAATCGTTACTCATGAGAGGAGGATGGAAGTGAAGAAAATTGGAACTGATTGGCTTGAGATAATTAAAAGGAATGCGAGAGAGAGAGAGAGAGAGAGAGAGAGAGAGAGAGAGAGAGAGAGAGAGAGACGCAGAGACCATGGCACTAAGTGGACACACACACACACATACACACACACACACACACACACACACACACACACACACACACACACACACACGGAAAGTGTTATCGTCCCTCGCCAACAAAAAGGCTCTATGCTCTTTTGGCAAATCTCGTAAAAAGGACTTACTGAGGCGGAAATGTGACGGAAGACTGTCTCTGGGGACACTGTTTTGCCCAGGTTGATGTGGAGGGCGTGATGTATTTACTTGACTCTGTGTGTGTGTGTGTGTGTTTTCGCACACTGGATGGTGAAATGCGTCTAGTAAGGCAGCATTATGTTAGTGTTAAGGTGCAAACATTGCTTGCTCCCTCTCGCTTTCAGCTACCGCCGCTGGCTAGCCCTCGTGGCGAACAAGGAAGCAACTTGCATAAGTCTTCCCCTGCCAGTACACAACCTTTTCACCATCAAGACTCCTGCTGTGCTTCCTCGTGGCAACACACGGTAACTGGGTGCCTCGTGGGGCCCACGGTAGACCAGCAGGGGATCTTGGAGTAGCAGTGGGCCCCAGAGGGACGGCGCATAGACCCACTGGCATGTGGATACGTCCTGGCGATGACCAACCTCTGCCCTGCTGCCTTGCGGATTAACCTTTGTAGGTATAAGGCTACTGGAGTAAACCCCGAACGAAAAATCTGCAGTGGAGCCCCACATCAGGCAGACATGCTTACAACAAGAACCCAACGGCGGTATAGGCGGAAGTGGTGACCACCATGGGAACCCAACGACTACACCAGCTGATGAAGGCAATGCCTGATGGACAGGCTACTAAGGCAAAACCCAACAAACTGGGATGTCGGCAGTCCACTGCAGCCCTCCCTCTCCCCAGTCGTTGTAACGCTTGCACCACGGGATCAGGAAGAGGAAGAGCAAAGAACGTGTGGTTGCAGCCTGCGCTCCGGACTCACCACATAAATCTACTCACGTGCAGCAATCATCTAGCTCATCATACCTCTCATCATCATCAAACCGCTATACCCATAAAAGTCCTATGGCGATGGACGAGTGGCGATGGGAACAGGAAGAGATGACTGCCAGGAGTCTTTAGTCACAACTCTGCACATGGGCGACACAGATAAGATGGTCGTTTATGCACTTGGATCTACAGTAGGCAGCAGTGCAATCCGGTCCTGTCTGTGCGACTGAACAGCCCTTTCGAGGAGCTACTCTGCTCACCCAACATGGGGAGGGGGCTAGAAAAGGTGCCCTAAACATAGCCTGTCTAAAACAACACCCTGACTGGGCAACAGCACCCAGTAAGGTTATCCTTATGTGGTCGAAAACACAATCAAAATCATAGATCCAAACAAAAACAAACTATACAACACCTTACAGTATGGTCGCTGCATGGAATGTCAGGACCCTTCTGGATACTGGCACAAACGAGCCGCCCTTGTGGCAAATGAGCTGGTAAGGTTTGACATAGACATAGCAGCCATTAGTGAGTCCCGGCTACCAGACGAGGGTCAACTCACAGAACGGGGGTCTGGCTACACCTTCTTCTGGAAGGGTAAGCCTGCTGCGGGGAAAATCCGCATTTATGGAGTTGGCTTTGTCATCCGTCAACGCATCCTACTCAGGCTAACTGAAATGCCTATTAGGGTCAACGAGCGCCCCTCATAACGCTTTGAGTCCCACTGAATCACTCACGTCATGCCTTTTTCATCAGTGCATACGCCCCAACACTGGAATCAGAGGATGACATCAAGGAGGCCTTTTGTGCCGACCTCGACAGAGTACTACCCTCTATCCCCAGAGAAGACAAGGTTGTGCTCCTTGGTGATTTCAATGACAGAGTTGGCAGAGATGCTGACGTTTGGCAGGGAACCATAGGGAGAAATGGACTCGGCAAGTGTAATCCCAACGGCCTACTCCTCCTCAGCAAGTGTGCTGCACACAGCCTCACTATCACCAATACCTTGTTTAAGCAGGCCGACAAGTTCAAGGGTTCTTGACAACACTCACGACCAAACACTGGCATCTCATTCACTACATCATTGTCAGAGAAAGAGATCGCCGAGATGTGCTCTTCACCCGTGCCATGCGTGGCTCACATCACTGCGATACTGATCATCGGCTCGTCAGAGCCAAGCTCTCACTTCACGTCGCCCAAAAACGGCAAAGACAGCAAGCCTCCAGAATAGGTTTTAGCACTAAGCGTCTGGAGGATCCAGCGGTAGCACATGCTTTCAGAGAGCAGCTCGAACATGGGCTGATAAACAACCCGACAACAAACAACCCAAATCCCATTACCGAATGGGATTTTCTCGACACTGTCATGACAAAAGTCTGCAGAGACCCTCAGCCAGATCAAAAGAATACACCATGACTGGTTTGATGAAAATGACCCTGCAATCAATGTACTCATCGATGATAAACATGCTGCTTTAACTGACTGGTTGAACAACTCTCAGTCTCGGACTAAACCTGATACATTCTGCAAGAAGAAAACTGCGACCCAGTAGGAACTTCGCACCTCAAGGCACTTGAAAACTTTCACCACCGTAGTCTACGTTCCATCCTCCGAAGTCGCTGGGAAGACAAGAGAACAACTGCCAGTATTCACGCTAACACCAACTGTAGGAGCATCGAGGCTACCATTATCCATGAACAACTACGTTGGACTGGCCATGTTACCCGCATGGACGACAGTAGACTGCCAAAGCAGCTACTTTACAGTCACCTAAGGAATAGTAAACGTAACGCTGGCGGCAACTGAAAAAGTATAAGAATAGTCTTAAGACAAACCTGAAAAAGTGCCAAATCGACCCCCTCACCTGGGAGACGATTACTCCACACCGTAACGCTTGGAGGAACACCACACGAGACGGTATCAATAGTTTCGAGTTAGCCTGACTGCTTACCGTGGCAGACAAGCGCTTACGCTGGAAAGACGCTGCCGTAGCTCCTCCCGCACTAGATGTAGCCTTCCACACGTGCAACATCTGTGGACGGCACTGCAGGTCCCATTTCGGCCTCTTCAGTCACCTAAGAACTCGCCAAGGAAGGTGACATTCCTGATAACTCATATCATTGTATCATAGGTGGGTGGTCGTCATGCTACCCACCAGTAATTAGGAACCTGGATGTTAATCGATTTGCGGATCGTATTTCGGGGTAATGGTTAGCCAGTGCAGTTGACGAGTTGTCCGGTCTTCAAGGACTATTCCTTGACACTGGATCATAAAGATCGTTAACTCAGGGTGTGGTTGTTGTGTTGTTGACAGCTTCTACACCTTAAACAAATTCACGCCTCTTGGGCCACCTAGACAACCATTGTGTGTGTGTGTGTGTGTGTGTGTGTGAGTTCAATTGAGTTTGGAGTCAACACACTCGTATCTGTTTACCATATTTACTTCCACACACACACACACACACACACACACACACACACACACACACACACACACACACACACACACACACACACACACACACCTGCATAAAGGACTTAGTGAGAAAGACTTTAGGCTGACTCAGAGAGGAAACTTTCTTCTGAGAGATTTTGGTGTTGAAACTTGTACAGGAGACCCGGATATAAGGGACTCCAGAGCCTAGTTGGGTGACGCTATGTTGATAAATAAAACGAACACTGAGAAGAGTTATATGATGCTTCTCGTCTACTACTACTACTACTACTACTACTACTACTACTACTACTAATAATAATAATAATAATAATAATAATAATAATAATAATAATAATAATAATAATAATAAATTGTCTAATATTATTATTATTATTATTATTATTATTATTATTATTATTATTATTATATACTGAATGTTATGAATATAAAATTATTACTATTTATCTTATTACTTTCATTATCATTCATTTTATCAATTTATCACAGTGCCATAGGTGTGTGTGTGTGTGTGTGTGTGTGTGTGTGTGTGTGTGTGTGTGTGTGTGTGTGTGTGTGTGTGTGTGTGTGTGTGTGTGGTGGGTGTGTGTGTGTGTGTGTGTGTGTGTGTGTGTGTGGAGGTGAGCACAAAGTTATAGACGAGAGGAAACGAAGCCTTTTCCTTCCTCTTTCGTTAGTCACAAAAATTAATTAAAATCTTCTTTAATAACAGTGTTGTGTTGAGCCCCGAGTGTATGGATCACCTGAAGATTAGTCACCCTTGATTTTTTCTCCTGATTATCCACCCTAACGTTACCTCGGAGTTAGGTTAGGTTAAGTTAGGTTAGGTTAGGTTAAGTTAGGTTAGGTTAGGTTAAGTTAAGTTAAGTTAGGTTATGTTAGGTTAGGTTAGGTTAGGTTAGGTTAGGTTAGGTTAAGTTAGGTTAGGTTAGGTTAAGTTAGGTTAGGATGGCCTAGATAAGTCTTATTACATTACTTCAAATCTTAAAAATAACGACTTTTTCCTAGAATTCTGATAACATAAAGATTCAGAAATTTCTATAAAAATAAAGGTTTTGTGGAAGCTTTTAAAGGGTCTTGTTATAAGGTCCTAGATGACCACAGTTCTAGGAGAGAGAGAGAGCTCTAAGAAATCTTCCACTTAAGAATGATTCAAGCATGTGTTACAATCATTCTATTTAGGAAACAAGAATACTACCCCTAACCTAACCTAACCTATTACCACCATACCTCGAGTGTAAACAGTTTAGCAGAACATTTAATACATAAATATACTCTCCCATGTGTTCAGTGCCTTCCTTGCCTGCCGGACCATTGACACATTTCTGAGGTTTATTACAACTTTCAGTGGTATCCGGTCCCCTGCGTGTTTACATTTGGTATTTGCACAGTCAACACGGGTATATATACACAGAGACTAATTATTAATCAGTTTAACCCTTGAGTACGATCCTAGCTTTTTGAGTACAATACTAGCCCCTTGAGTACGTTGTCTGACTTAAACCTGAAATACGACAATAAATGCCCGAAATATTACAATAAATGCCTGAAATACGACAATAAATGCCCGAAATACGACAATAAATGCCCGAAATATTACAATAAATGCCTGAAATACGACAATAAATGCCCGAAATATTACAATAAATGCCTGAAATACGACAATAAATGCCTGAAATACGACAATACCCGAAATACGACAATAAACGCCTGAAATACGACAATAAATGCCCGCAATACGATAATAAATGCCTGAAATATGACAATAAATGCCTGAAATACGCTGAACATTTTACACAGGGGTTTACGTCACAATAATTAATGATGGGAAGGCAGAAGTTATGCCTCCCGGGTGATGGTAATGAGGGGAAAGGTGGAGAGGAAGGGGAGGGGAAGAGAGGGGAAGGTGGAAGAGATGGGAAGGGAGAAAGAGAAGGGGAAGGTGGAGAGAGAGAGAGAGAGAGGGGGGGGGAAGAGGGTGGTAAAGATCAGGATGTTGGCCTCTTCCCCAAATCCTCCCCTTTCTCTCCTTCCCACTTCCTCCTCCCCAACCTTCTCTTCTCCCCACTTGCTCCTTCTCCCCCACTACCCTCCCCACCTACCCTCCTCCTCTACCTAGGTACAGTACCTCCATCTGGTGCCTGGTGCTACTGGGAGCATAAAGGAGCAATAGTCGTCGACCCTGGCTGGTTCAGTAATCTGGGCCGACGGATATGAGAACACTAATGAAAGAAGTCCACATAAAAATGGTTTCTCCTCCTATAAATAACAAACTTTCCCACACTATTGCCGCTCTTCCAGATTATTCTCTCCTGGTTGTCAAATATTGAGTCGTATTGTGGGATTTTTTTTTTTTTTTGCTTTTTAAAGATGTTTTTGTTTTGTTTTCGTTTTCTGTCGTGCTGTAAAAGATGTCAACACTACAGGTTTTCGTGGTATATGGTTGTACGTGATAATTGTTCTTTTATAGGAACCAATCGATCTGTTGATTTCAATTTACACTAATAAAGTATAATTGTTTTATGAGGACTGGAGGAAACTCAATTATGTAGGCAACAACAATAATAATAATAATAATAATAATAATAATAATAATAATAATAATAATAATAATAATAATAATAATAATAATAATAATAATAATAATAATAATAATAATAATAATAATTTGGTGTTTATTCAATGGTCTATTTACAACGGGAGGAAACTAAATAATCCACCTTGACTACAGAATGATTGCATTGCTGTTGGTTTTAGTGTAATAATTATGTGTAATTTAACATAATCCAAACAATTACTATACAACATGATTGACTTTGATCATTACTTAGTTTGATTTTCGCTAATTATTCTTCCTAATACCTTAAGCACTGTAAACGTGTCAATAATGCACTGAATCATAATCTCCCTATCACCATAATCACTATAAACAGGAGAGGACGGTAAACAAAACGCTATCGTAGTTTTCACATCACTATAAACACCATAATAGTATAAACAAAACGCTATCGTAGTTTTCTCTTCACTATAAACACCATAATAGTATAAACAAAACGCTATCGTAGTTTTCACATCACTATAAACACCATAATAGTATAAACAAAACGCTATCGTAGTTTTCTCTTCACTATAAACACCATAATAGTATAAACAAAACACTATCGTGGTTTTCTCTTCACTATAAACACCATAATAGTATAAACAAAACACTATCGCAGTTTTCACATCACTATAAACACCATAATAGTATAAACAAAACACTATCGTGGTTTTCTCTTCACTATAAACACCATAATAGTATAAACAAAACACTATCGCAGTTTTCACATCACTATAAACATCAGATATTTACTGACCGAATGAGTTAAAACCTAACGTATAAAAATATCCATGAACCTAACAGAACACAGTATTTTGTGCCATATTGCTTCTCAATTACCCTGTTCATATCCTCCCATACACACACTAAAATCCCACTGGAGGTGAAGATACAACACAATGGGATTTCAATGTTTTGTTCTACGGGGGATAAAATAATATCTTCAGTTATATACACTTACTTATATTTCCTGTTTACACTGATGAACAGAGATGAACAGCCACATCAATGATTAACACAAACTCCATTATACATAGAGGGAGAGTTATCACATATTTAAGAAGTAGAGGAAGAGGCATCAACATGGGACTTACCTAGGAAGTTCTGGAAAGCAGCCTGGACGGTGGAATTGGTGTGCTCATTCAGTAGGTCCCTCAGGTACTTGTCTGGCTTGTTCCTGTCGTATTCGCTCAAGCTTACCCCCACCACGAAGTACTCCCCTGTAAGAATACCACATGACCTTGATGCTTTGATTGAGGTAGACGGGGGGTGGGGGGTAGACGGGAGTAGACAGGGATGTACTCCTGTCTACACTAGAATCATTACATCTATTAAAACAACCACACAACCCCAAAATAACTCTATAGTCACCACATAACCACACCTAAATCTACCATTGTTACGCATATCAACCAAAAGTTAGACATAAACAAGATACCCCTTAAAAAAATTAAAACAATCAAAGAAAACTATCGAGATAAAATGTTTTCTTACCGTTTTTAAACAATCCTCTCTCCTCCATTATGGTCATGAGGCCCAGGAACTCATAGTAGTGACCCAGCACGACGTAAACTGTGGGAAGAGACGACAGGAATTAGGAAATTGAGTTATTAAATAGACAAATAGAGAGAGAGAGAGAGAGAGAGCCTACGTTTGTTTGTAGTAGCAGGTCATATAATAGTAATAATAATAATAATAATAATAATAATAATAATAATAATAATAATAATAATAATAATAATACGAAAAAAAATATACTCAATTCGATTTTTTTTACACTAAACCTTCTGAAATTATTATTTTTATTTTTTGTATAAAAATAAATTTTAATTTGCTTGTAAAGGGAACAATTTATCGATTTTCGGGAGTTAACCAAAGAAAAACAAGGGGTCGGGAAAGAAGCGACTCTGCTAAAGTGATAAGATGACGATAATGAGGTTTGGCGGGAAGACAAGGTTGAACCCGCAAAAGAATGTCTCATAACTTAATAAGTGACTGGCAGAGGGAGGAGGCTGGTGGAGGAGACGTAAATGTGGAGCTAAGGAAAAATGCGAGCAGGAAACTTTGAGGAAAACAAGAAAACACGAAGAAAAGTCAAACAAGGGTGGGATGCGGGTGGGGAGGAAGGGTAGGGTAAAAGGGTGGGGAGAAAGAGTGGGGAGGAAGAAAGGTAGGGAGGAAAACTGGGGAGAAAGGGTGAGGAGGACTAAGTAAATCAGTGAGGTTTACAGATACTATCGACGGGGAAGTCTACCTACCCCAGCAAGGAAAAAAAATGATGAAACAAGTAAACAAAACAAATGAAACAAATAAAACTAAGTGGAAAACAATAAATATTTCTCATAAATTTGCTCTTATTTCCTAGTGTTGTTGTCGCCGTGTATCTGGTCAGGGTAATACGTTAAGTCACTTCGAATCTGGAAGTTCAATGAAAATAAACTTGATATTTTCCATCCCCGCCCCAACCCAGACAACAGCCAGCGTAAACTCTCTTTACTCAGTCACTCAACAACAATAATCATTCACAACAACAACAATAATAATAATAATAATAATAATAATAATAATAATAATAATAATAATAATAGTCACAAGAAGAAGAAAAAGATAAGAAGAAGACGAAGAAAACGTTCCTCGACGATCAATACGAATCTTAAAATTTTAGATGAAAAACATTCCTCGTACTTGCGCTCTGAGTCTCATCTACAAACACTCAAAAACAATCTGAACATTTCAAGAACCCTCAAAATTACCCCGGCTAGGAGGGGGGAGGAGGGAGACGCTCCAGAGTAGAGTACCTTGTCAGGGAGAACTAAAAGAGGTTGTATATTACTGCCAAGTGCTGGGAAAATTCTTAGGTACTCCGGCTGGTGGGAATGAGTCGTCGGTATGGAAGAAAAGTTGGCCAGGAAGAGAAACTTTAAATGTTTCCATACACGAAAGCGAGATGTGTTTGTCTACTCAGCTCCCTGACGCGTGTTGATGTTATAATGTATTACAACGCTTCAACAACTAGTTCTTTGTGTTATAATGTATTACTGCGCTTCAACAATTAAGGTCTTTGTGTTGATGTTATAATGTATTACTACACTTCAACAACTAGTTCTTTGTGTTATAATGTATTACTACACTTCAACAACTAGTTCTTTGTGTTATAATGTATTACTGCGCTTCAGCAACTAAAGTCTTTGTGTTGATGTTATAATGTATTACTACACTTCAACAATTAAGGTCATTGTGTTGATGTTATAATGTATTACTACGCTTCAACAACTAATGTCTTTGTGTTGATAATGATTAAATATGGATCACTGAATCGCCTGAAAAATATTCCCAGATTATTTACCATAAGATTCACCACCCTAACCTAACCTAAGCCCCTCTCCAAGTAGCATAATGTAGTGTTTATTCATCAGGTGAAATGAGCTAGGCTGAGGGGGTGGTATAATCTCTAGTTGATCCTATTGTTACCATAATAAGTCGCCGTGTTTTTGCGTTGACTATATGAGGTTAATTGGTCGATAAATCTTCCAGCTCAGGGAAAACACTTGGCCTGTTAACAAGGAGGGGGGGGGGGTACTTAGGTTAGGTTAGGTTAGGTTAGGTTAGGTTAGGGTAGGGGTTTCTTGGGGTTAACCTGTTGTTAAAAATACTGCAGAACTCCCAAGTATCAATTACTAACGAGGAGGAGGAGGAGGATGAGGATGTAGAGGAAGAAGAAGAGTAACAGGAGAAGGTGAAGGAGAAAGAGGAAAATGAGAGAACGAAGAGGACAACAACAACGAGACGTAAAAGGAACTGGAGCTGGGTTTAAAGCCGTGTGGATTTCAAGGGATAAAAACCAGAAGAAGTATTATATTTCTACACCAAGCCGAGAAGGATTGTTTATCAGACACAGTGAACGAGGAAGATCATGGCTGCTTTACTGAGAATGGGTGTTTTGGGAAGAAGAAGAAGAAGAAGAAGAAGAAGAAGAAGAAGAAGAAGAAGAAGAAGAAGAAGAAGAAGAAGAAGAAGAAGAAGAAGAAGAAGAAGAAGAAGAAGAAGAAGAAGAAGAAGAAGAAGAAGAAGAAGAAGAAGAAGAAGAAGAAGAAGAAGAAGAAGAAGAAGAAGAAGAAGAAGAAGAAGAAGAAGAAGAAGAAGAAGAAGAAGAAGAAGAAGAAGAAGAAGCTTATAAAATAATTCTTGTTTTAGATTCATAACGTCTTTGAAAACAGTACATACAATACACATGAAGAGCAATTATTAATGTATATCCCAGAACCACTTTCACTGCCTGTCTCCCAACAATGGCCACTGCAATATGACAGAGTCGCGTTAAATAATTGTAGGACCTCACTCGTATGAAGTTTAAAGAGGAAAAAAAAAGAGGAAGAGATTATGTAAAAACTCCTTTAACTGCGAGGTGGAAACTGTTTATGTCTTATCTTAACTACACTGCCACTACACACAGCGGTAAACACACATATACACACAATTCCTGCTCGAGATAATTGTGTGGTGTACAGTACATTTACCAACAGGACAACTGGCAAAAACTGGCGCACACACACAGAGTAGGTAATGCTCTTAGTGGCTAGAATAGTGTGTGTGTGTGTGTGTGTGTGTGTGTGTGTGTGTGTGTGTGTGTGTGTGTGTGTGTGTGTGTGTGTGTGTGTGTGTGTGTGTGTGTGTGTGTGTGTGTGTGTGTGTGTGTGTGTGTGTGAGTATTTCGGTATATGTGTGGATTTCTGTGTGTGTGTATTCCTATGTGTGTGTGTGTGTGTGTATTTCTATGTGTGTGTGAGTATTTCGGTATATGTGTGGATTTCTGTGTGTGTGTATTCCTATGTGTGCGTGTGTGTGTATTTCTATGTGTGTGTGAGTATTTGTGTGTATGTGTATCTGTGTATGTTAATAGTTATGAACTCAGTATATCACCATACACGTGAAGAACATAACACCACAATACTATTTGGTCATTCTACACTGCCTACTGTATTCCTTTAAACAAATTACTCCACTAAAACAAGATACCTTTTGTTCATACAGTAGTACTTAATGTAAAAAAACTGGACGATACATCATGAGGGGGAAACTCTTGTTAAAATTTATGATCCACTTAAAGTTTAACCCGGTAATGTCTTTTTTAGGAATGTTTCGTGTTGTTTAGTAATACATTGTGTTCTTCTAAACAAACATCTCTCTCTCTCTCTCTCTCTCTCTCTCTCTCTCTCTCTCTCTCTCTCTCTCGTTTCTTTCTCTCCCAGTTTCTCAAAGGGTCTTACCACGTCTCCTCTCCACACACACTCCGTTTTCTTTTCTCCTTTTCCCTAGAACTTACCCATTAACACACATTAACATCCCTCAGACAAAGCAAATGCCCTAATGAATGGAAAACCGCACTTGTCACCCCTATCCCCAAGGTCCCCACCCCACAGTCCCCTAACGACCTCATGCCAGTTGCCATTACCCCCATACCCAGTCTACTCTGTGAAGACTTTGTTTTTGAGTGGGCATTTGCTAAAATTTATCAGTCAATTGATCCGCAGCAATTTGGCAATATGAGGACCTCCTCTACATCACACTGCTTAGTTAGTTTCCTGGATTTTCTGCACGAAAACCTGCAGAAACGTAAGACATCACTGGCCGTTGCCCTTGTTGACTTCAGGAATGCTTTTACCTTGTTGATCACTGCACTGTTATCAACAAGGCCATTGCACTAGGGCTGCCCACCAACCTGGTTTCATGGCTCACTGATTTCCTGAGTGAACGTCGTCAGGCAGTGAGGTATCAGGGTTCTGTCTCCACATTCCAACACCTCACCTGCGGTGTTCCCAAGGGGACCAAGATGGGACCACTGTGCTTCCTAATCCTGATCAACGACGCTCTATCGGACACTCCTCACAGGTGGAAGTACGTGGATGACTGCACTGTGGGGGTTACAGTGGACAACACCGCACCAGACTACTCATCGCTCCAAGGCACCCTGGACAGGCTACAGGCATGGACTACGGAGAACAAGGTCACCATCAACCACACCAAAACCGTAGTCATGTACATCAATACCGCCACCACTCCAGTGCAAGCCCCAGCAGTCACAGTGGGTGCCCATCCTCTCCAGTTAGTGCAGTCTGCCAAACTCCTGGGTGTTACCATAGACCACACTTTGGACTGGAAGGCCCATGTAAACAACACAATGGGAACCTCCTACCGACACTTGGAACACCCACGCCAGAGCTGAGGACTATCTACAATGCCTTTATTCTCCCCAAATTAACGTATGCGTCACCAGCGTGGTCGTCTTTTCTCAACTCTACCCAACAACGTCAACTAGAGAAGGTACAGAAAAGGGCCTGCAGAGTCATGCTCGGCGCAGACTACTCCGGCTACAACAACGCTCTCTCCACCCTGGAAATGCCATCCCTCAGTGATCTCCACCACCAAGCACTAGCAAGGTTTGGCAGTGGACTACTGCACTATCCTCGTCATCACCACCTCCTGCCACCTGCAGTCCCCCGCCCACCTTGCGCAGTCCGCAACTACAACAAAATTCAGCCCATAAGAGTCCGCACTGACAGATATAAGAATAGCATCATCCCATCTATTGTTAAAATAATAAACAACTCCTGATTGATGTACTGTACAGCCCTGTAAATGTATTGAACGCATATCATTATGTCTACATCACATGTAAGTTTGTATATTTTCAGCCAACGGCTGCAACTCTATGAATAAACCGTTTATTATTATTATTATTATTATTATTATTATTATTATTAAACATACACACACACACACACACACACACATGACCTTTTACATAATGATTTCAATTTAATTCAACATATTCAACTCAATCTTCTGTTCGACGTAATGTGTCGACAAAAATAAAAGCATTAAAAAAAGTAACAGTGAAATAGATTTACTCTGTTAATTATTCAGGTATTTTTTTCTACATTGCAGACCCTGACTGTGTGAGAGAGAGAGAGAGAGAGAGAGAGAGAGAGAGAGAGAGAGAGAGAGAGAGAGAGAGAGAGAGAGAGAGAGAGAGAGAGAGAGAGAGAGAGCACTAACACTCCTTCAATCTCCTCCCAACATGTGCATTCTCCCTAGTCGCTTTAAAAACATTACACAGTCCAGTAACTTCATATAATAGTGTAATTCTCTTAAGTGTAATCTTAACCTAAACTCATTCTACGTAAGTTTATGGCCAGCTTAATGGTAGCCTACAGTCTGGTATAAGCTTATGTAGTCTAATAAATCTACAAGAAATAGCTTCGTGGTCCATGTTCGTGGTACTCCTCATAACAGTGACCATATTTCACGTTAAGGGGTTATCACAGTGGACAAACTTTCCCCATCCCTCAGGAGAAGATGGTGGTAGTGGTGATCGACGACTTCCTATTTCATTTCAGGTATTATAATATCAAATGTTGAATTAATCATTGATATTCATATATATTAATGTGATTAGGACAGTTTGGTATGAAAAATGAGAACGGAGAATGACGGAAATTATTCTCAGTGGGATGCCTTTACACGGACCACTTTGAGGTAGGCGATCCACTCCAGCATCTCGGATCACCTAAAGATCAGGGGTTAGATTAGGTTAGATTAGGTTAAGTATCATTTAGTTAGGCTATTTTAGGTTGATTTAGGTTAGGTTTCATTTGATTTGGTTTGGTTAGGTTAGGTTAGACCAGGGTTAGGTATTACGTTGAGGTCCAAATGATGGCTTATCTCAAGGTCAAATAAACATGAGGTATTAATCATCAGGTGATCCAATAACTCATCCCGCTCTCTCCGCTGTGCCAGGTTTAAGCCTCCCTACTGCGCCAGGTTTAAGCCTCCCTACTGCGCCAGGTTTAACCCTCCCTACTGCGCCAGGTTTAACCCTCCCTACTGCGCCAGGTTTAACCCTCCCTACTGCGCCAGGTTTAAGCCTCCCTACTGCGCCAGGTTTAACCCTCCCTACTGCGCCAGGTTTAACCCTCCCTACTGCGCCAGGTTTAACCCTCCACCAGACGATGTCATCAAGTATGCATAAGAGACACAGTATCTCTCTTGGAGGTAATTCAAACTTGTAATGAGAAAATTGTCCTCAACTCTCACCTCACATCACCTGTATTCAACATGTTCCCGTCATTACCATACTGGGGTTATAACTTTCTATTTCTGGTTAGGTTAGGTTAGGTTAGGTTAGGTTAGGTTAGGTTAGGTTAGGCTACGTTAGGTTAGGTTAGGTTAGCGTTAGGTTAGGTTAGCGTTAGGTACATTTAGCTTAACCTATTTAGTCATCTTGGTAATTAATTTGGGGCGAGAAATCTTCAGGTGTTGACCCCAGGAAGACTTAATCCTCGTGGTCACTGAACATAAATTATTGTTTCATTTTCACGAGATTAAGTCATTTTTTTTCTTAACGAGAGATACAAATCTTAGGTTAATATCTGAAATAAGTTTGATTTAAATTTGTATTTTTGTTCCTTTTTCTCAGCTGTCAGTTGTTTCTCATCTCTCTCAGCTGTTTCTGATCTCTCTCAGCTATCTCTTACCTCTCTCAGCTGTCCCTCATCTCTCTCAGCTATCTCTCATCCCTCTTAGCTATCTCTCATATCTCTCAACTCTCTCAGCTGTCTCATTTCAGCTGTATCTCAACTCTCTCAGCTGTTTTTCATCTCTCAGATCTCTCATCTCTCTCAACTGTCTCTCATCTACTCTCAGCTGTCTCTCATTTGTCTCGTCTACCTCACATTGGGGTATCTAGTATGCCATGCAAGGACGACTCCCTCCCTCCCCCGTCTCTAGCTGTTACTAATATGGCCAGCAGGTGTACCAACTTATGATGATGTACTGGGAATCGTATCAAATCATTTCGTCTAGCGTTTCAGATTGTAGCGACGGGAAATCTAACGCTACTCTTTGGTGCATACAATGTGGTGTACACACTCTGGCCCAAATGGCATGTCAGGTTTATGGGCCCCACTCTGAGTTTAATTTCACGAGTTATTTAATGTGAATTATTACCCATTTCAGTTAGATTAAATTGGACTACACAATAATTGGTTATTTTTGTAATTTTTCTGTAAATTTATACGTTTTTAATCTGAAAAAATTAGATTTTTTTCCGTTTTCTTTGATGTATTATTATATATTTTTACGTTTCTTTCATTGGAAGAAGAAATTTTTTTATTTTGTTATTTCCCGTTTTCTTTGTCATGACAACGTGGCTTTGTCGGGGAACTAAATAAGAAATATTAATGTCATGTTCTTTAAACTCATAACTATATTTTCTACTTGAGATGTTCTTATGGTATGGGTTTGTTTACCGATATTTATATATACCTCTCTCTTTCACTCCCTTTTCTCCCTCTCAGTCTTACTTTGCCCTCTCATGCTTTCTCTCTTCCCATCCTCCCTCTCACCCTCCCCACGCCCTCTCACCCTTCCCAGTTCCACTCCTACTCCTTCTTCTCCTTCCCACTCACTTCGGGAATCAATGTATGTCGCCTGAAACATGATAGCGAAGAGGTTGTTGACAAAGCTGTGATTAATCCCTTTCCCTCCTCCCTCTCACCTTTCCTTCTTCCTTCTCACTCATCCCTCTCACCCTCCCCACTTCCTCTCACCCCTCTCAACTCCCTGTCACTTACTTCGGCAATCCATGTAGGTCTCCTGAATCATGCTGACGAAGGGGTTGTTGTCATAGCCGTGATGGTAGGTGGCGGCCCAGCTCCGTGTGGCCAGAAGAGTGATGTTATGGCTGGGTAATGTCCTCACGATAGTTCTGGCCACTCGGCTGAAGTTCTCGTCTGGTGAGTTATTGTAGAAGAAGGTTACCTGTGTGAGAGTGAAATATATTGTTAGCGGGAAGAGAAAGAAAGATACTAATTTCTCACGTCTGACAAATATATTAACATTCTTTTCAACTGTATTCGAATCAATGGATGACGGACAGCAAAGCCTTCGACAGAGTCCCCCACAAAAGACTAATACGAAAAGTGGAGGCTCATGGCATTGGAGGAGATATTCTAAAATGGATTAGGGCGTGGGTGCGGGACAGGAAACAACGAGTGAGCATTAACGGCACTAAATCCGATTGGGGTAACATCAATAGTGGAGTTCCCCAAGGCTCAGTATTTTGACCATTACTATTTATTATATATTGTACATAAACGACATAGATATAGACGTAGACAGCAACATAAGTAAATTTGCTGATGACACTAAAATAGGGCGTGCAATTAAATCTGACGAGGACTCCGCAAAACTACAGGAAGATCTAGAGATATTTTTCGAACGGTCTGAAAAACGGCAGATGAAATTTAATGTGGGCAACTGTAAAGTACTTAGTCCAGGAGATGTAAATAGAGAAACCAGATATCAGATGAACAACGTTGTTAAAGAGAAATCCGACTGTGAGAAAGATTGAGGAGTAATGATAAGTAGGAATCTTAAACCAAGACAACAATGTGTATTTGCTCGAAACAAGGCTAATAAAGTACTTGGGTTCATACAAAGGAGTGTTAGTTACAAGACTAGCGAGGTCACCCTAAAACTATATCTTGCGCTTGTGAGACCTCACTTGGATTACGCGGTTCAATTCTGGTCACAGTACTACAGAATGGATATAGAATCTCTAGAAAGCATTCAGGGGAGGATGACAAGACTAATCCCGGGCATTAGGGAACTCTAGTACAGAGACAGGTTAAAGCATCTTAATTTGCATTTCCTCGAGAGACGTAGAGTGAGGGGCGATATGATCGAGGTGTATAACTGGAAGTCAGGGCTAAACAAAGGTGATATACCAAAGGTATTCAAACTATCTAACCAGGAGCGAACTCGTAGCAATGCGTTTAAATTAGACAAATTTATATTTAGGTGCGAGATAGGTAAACATTGGTTTGGAAATAGAGTAGTGGACGAGTGGAACAAGTTACTAAACATCATCATTAACTCGAACACGCTGGGCAGCTTCAAATGTAGGCTGGACAGATATATGAGCGATAGGGGTTGGGTGTAAACGGGACTGCCCAGTATGGACCAATTGGCCCGCTGCAGTTTCGTTCATTCTTATGTTCTTATGTTAGTTTTGAGAGAGCGACTACAGCAATCTCCTTTATTATAGGGAAAAGGTTTTTTTAATCATGAGAACAAAGTTGTGGAAAGATTGTTTTTGAAAACTTTAAATTAGTGTTGAGAAGTAACTAGCGTGTGAGGGGTGTCTTTGTGAGTGTTGTGAGTGAATGTCAGTAACTGCTAGTGACTGTGAGTGATTGTGAGTGACTATGAATGACTGTGAATGACTATTAGTGATTGTGTGTGACTGTGAGTGACTGTTAGTGGCTGTGAGTGATAATGAATGACTGTGAGTGACTGTTAGTGACTGTTAGTGGCTGTGAGTGATAATGAATGACTGTGAGTGACTGTTAGTGGCTGTGAGTGATAATGAATGACTGTGATTGACTGTGAGTGACTGTTAGTGGCTGTGAGTGATAATGAATGACTGTGATTGACTGTGAGTGACTGTTATTGGATGTGAGTGATAATGACTGACTGTGATTGACTGTTAGTGACTGTTAGTGGCTGTGAGTGATAATGAATGACTGTGATTGACTGTGAGTAACTGTTAGTGGCTGTGAGTGATAATGAATGACTGTGATTGACTGTGAGTGACTGTTAGTGGCTGTGAGTGATAATGAATGACTGTGATTGACTGTGAGTGGTTGTTAGTGGCTGAGTGATAATGAATGACTGTGATTGACTGTGAGTAACTGTTTATAAGGTTCATGTGTTTATAAGGTTCATGTGTTTATAAGGCTCATGTGTTTATAAGGCTCATGTGTTTATAAGGCTCCTGTGTTTATAAGGCTCATGTGTTTATAAGGCTCATGTGTTTATAAGGCTCATGTGTTTATAAGGCTCATGTGTTTATAAGGCTCCTGTGTTTATAAGGCTCATGTGTTTATAAGGCTCATGTGTTTATAAGGCTCATGTATTTATAAGGCTCATGTGTTTATAAGGCTCCTGTGTTTATAAGGCTCCTGTGTTTATAAGGCTCATGTGTTTATAAGGCTCATGTGTTTATAAGGCTCATGTGTTTATAAGACTCATGTGTTTATAAGGCTCCTGTGTTTATAAGGCTCATGTGTTTATAAGGCTCCTGTGTTTATAAGGTTCATGTGTTTATAAGGCTCCTGTGTTTATAAGGCTCATGTGTTTATAAGGCTCCTGTGTTTATAAGGCTCATGTGTTTATAAGGCTCATGTGTTTATAAGGCTCATGTGTTTATAAGGCTCATGTGTTTATAATGTTTAAGTATATTTAAAGTTCCAGTTTAATTAACAAAAAGTAAATAAAACAAACGTAGTTATAAATTGTTTTCCATAATATATTTTTCTTTAACGACATCAAACTCATTTATTCAGAAAACCAGAAAAAAAAATCATCTTTTTTTTATTACAAAACTTGATGAGGAAAATGACTGAAATTCTATTAAAAAAAGGAATAAATTTATTTTATTCATAACTAAGGTTGAAGAGTTTAGCTGATATTATATATTTTTATTCAGAAGAAGTCGAAATAAGATTATTTTTTGGCTTTCATGTTCATATTAATAAACATGAGGAGTAAAAAATGTATGTATGTATGCACGTATGTGGCGATATGTGGTGTAATGGTCAGCGAACCAGGGTTCGATCCCCGGGCAGGGTGAAACTATGGGCAAGTTTCTTTACGCCATTTGCCTCTGTCTACCCGGCAGTAATTGAGGACCTGGATTTTAATTGATTTGCGGATCGTGTTCCGGGATAATGATTAGCCAGTGCAGTTGGCGAGTTGTCCGGTCTTCTCGGACTATTCTTTGACACTGGGTCATGCAGCTCGTTAACTGAGGGTGTGTTTGTTGTGTTGGCGACAGCTTCTACACCAGAAACAAATTCACGCCTAGGTGTCCCTCGGGCCGGCCATCCTCATTACACGCGAGGCACCCACTATGTATGTATGTATGTATGTATGTATATGTGTGTGTGTGTGTGTGTGTGTGTGTGTGTGTGTGTGTGTGTATCAATCAAGGAGAGAGAGAGAGAGAGAGTCACTAAAGAACTGAGTAAAGGTCGTGGAAGGATGTCTTGGGTCAGCACAAGGATCACCAATTATTCTGATGGAAGCGAAGACGAGGGAAGGAGTCTGGGGCAATAGGATATGATGAAGGAATCAGTGTAGGATGCTGAGAGGACGAGATAGGATGAAGGAATCAGTGTAGGATGCTGAGAGGACGAGATAGGATGAAGGAATCAGTGTAGGTTGCTGAGAGGACGAGATAGGATGAAGGAATCAGTGTAGGATGCTGAGAGGACGAGATAGGATGAAGGAATCAGTGTAGGATGCTGAGGGGACGAGATAGGATGAAGGAATCAGTGTAGGATGCTGAGAGGACGAGATAGGATGAAGGAATCAGTGTAGGATGCTGAGAGGACGAGACAGGATGAAGGAATCAGTGTAGGATGCTGAGAGGATGAGACAGGATGAAGGAATCAGTGTAGGATGCTGAGAGGACGAGATAAGATGAAGGAATCAGTGTAGGATGCTGAGAGGACGAGATAGGATGAAGGAATCAGTGTAGGATGTACTTGGTCTGTTTTACTTATTCTCTTCTTTATTGCGTCCTTGTTATTTTTTCACTTTATCACTTACTTGTTCTCTCTTGAATATATTAACAAATTATTTACGTCAGTGTTCTCATTTTTCTTCTTCTTTCCATTGCCTTCTAAATCGTCTGAGGTTTCTAAATTATTCGTTTTCTCCTATACTTCTGTTATCATCGTCTATCTCTCTTCCCCCTTTATTATATCTGATGTGGTATATGAGCTTAATTTGCTTTTCTTTCTACTTTATCGTTATTCTTCTCCAGTTCCTTGTTTTTTTCCTTATTTCCCTTTATTTTATCTATTCCTTGGTCATTCTATTTTGACTATTTCTCTCATTTATCCTCGTCTTTCACTCTAATTATCCACCTTATTTATCCCTCACGCTTCTCCCTTCCTTTATTGCCATTTAAGTATCCATTTATTCATCGATTGGTATCTCGTTCTCTCATTTATCCTCGTTAACTTTCTCTATTCTTCTCCTTATCTTCTCCCTTCCTCTTCGTTACATACTTTCTCCCCCTTCCTTTCAGTATCTCTCTCTCTCTTATATGTCTCATTCTTCTCTTATTTTATTTTCTGTTTCTATATCCGGTTTCCATTGCTCTTTCCATCTTTCTCTCTGACTTTTAATTATTTTTTCGTCCCTACGGTTTTCTGTACACGTAACTCTTGCCTTTTTCACCTGTGTCTCTCTGATTCAAATATCTGTCGAAACTTTATTATTTTTTTAAAGATCTCAAATATCTCTCAAGTATGTTAATATTTCTCATAGTTACGTAATCTAGTATCTCTCTTTTTTTTCTAGTCTAAACATCTCTGTCTCTCTCTGTCTCTCTCTCCGGCCTCTACACCGTACACACCGTTCTCTCTGTCTCTCTCTCTCTCTCTCCCACAGCTTACGTCATCAGATATCTCTCTCTCTTTTTTTCCCCATATATATACTGTATCTCCCTCCGTCATAAACTCGTAAATCTCTCATCCATGGCGTATTTCCACCACCACTACTACCACCACCACCGCCACAACCCACCGCCACAACCACCACTACCACCGCCACCACCACCACCACCACCACCGCCACAACCACCACTACCACCGCCACATCCACCACAACCACCACTTACCTTCCTCCAGTTGAACCTCTTTAGGATGGAGGTAACGGACTTGCTAATCTGTGTGTCAGGCGGCCTCGTCCTGGCGAAGGTTGGGAAGTTGTCCTTATCTGAGGTCTCAGGGTGAGTGCAGAACTGTAAGGGAGACAGACAGACACACACCAGGTGAGACTATACACAGGTAGCAGAAACATATAAACAGGATAAACAAATGTGAATAAATGAATGAAGAGGATTTTTGAACTTACCTGTAAAAACACACCTGTTGTTTACCTGTTACAGTGTTGGTCTGGAATACTTTTGCAGGTGTGTGAGTTATTATATCTATTAGTTCATATTCTTATTATATTTATCTGTTTTTTCCAGTTACTTTTAATATATGGGGGAATTATCTTACGTTCTTAGTATTATATTTTGTATTGTTCTTTTCATTAAATTATTAAATCTAACAACAACAAAATATAACAAGGTCTTACAGTATCACTTTATATCTTCAAATACACAAACTTGATATACGCCACTATTATTTCATCAAGGTGATTTAAAGTGTTTTTAACCCTTTGATAGCGATGATTGAACCCTTTGATAATAATAATAATGCTGATGAGGATGATGATGATGATTTAACACTTTGACGATAATAATTTAACCCCTAAAGGAAGAATAGTTAACCCTTCAGGACTCAAAGGGTTAAATATTAATTTCCAGCACCAAACATATAATCTACAAATTAAAAGATATATTTATTTTCTAACTATAATAAATATACTTATGTTCACTATGACTAAACTCCGTAAATGATAAAAGATTCATTCATTATACATTATAGAATTACTTTAAGAAGATTAAACTTATCATGAGGAATTAAAAACATGTGTTAACTTTAAGATATAAAATAAATGGCCAATTGTGTTCTTGGAACCTATGGGGAAGTCAGATGATATCGGGTACTGGTTCACTCGCTCCTCGCATCCATCACCAGTCTTTCTCTGTCAGCTTGTCGAGTCGTACACCCTCATCCACTAGTTGTATACCCTCATCCACTAGTTGTACGCCCTCATCCACTAGTTGTACACCCTCATCCACTAGTCGTACACCCTCATCCATTAGTTAAGACTGCTTGAAGATGAGTTGTACGCCCTCATCCACTAGTTGTACACCCTCATCCACTAGTCGTACACCCTCATCCATTAGTTAAGACTGCTTGAAGATGAGAACTGAGAGAGTTGTTTATCACACAAAGTCGGTGGTCGAGGAGGAATGTGGTGCCTGCGACCCACTCCTGCCCGTGAGAGAGCGTGAAGTGACTGAGACTGACCAAGTGCAGTGTACATTACAGTATTTCATTCGTCAGTGTCATTCTACAGGTTCGTGTTCCATCACAGCCTTGTGACCCACAACCCACTACACGATCTTTCACAGAAGGAAAAACTTGACCCCAGACTTGGACCCCCTGTACCTTGGTAATACAGTCCTCAAATGCGAACAAAATACTAAATTCCTCGGAGTTATTGTTGATGAGAAACTTAACTGGAGATACCACATACAAACCATTCACAGTAAAGTCAATAAACAGTGTGGTATCATGTATCACACTCGACAGTCACTCACTCTCACAGCAATGAAAGAAATCTATCATGATCTTGTTTACCAACACCTGATACACTATCACACACTATGGGGGGCCTCTGGCTCTTCAAAAACACAATCCCTGATAACGGCACAAAAGAGAGTTGTACGGACAATGACCTACTTGAAAAAAAACAGATCACACAAACGAAAAATTTGATAAGTTGAAATTGTTAAAATTCAAGGATATTAACACCTACTGCTGTGCCCCCTTTGTTTACAAATCTATCAATCACTTGCTTGACAATAATTATTTCCAGTTCCATAATAATCAGAGATACAACTTAAGGTACCCAGAGCTACTAAGACCACCCCCCATGCGCTCCTCTCAGTCCCAGACCTCCATAAAATATCACGGTGTGAAGGTGTGGAACAACTTACCCCCACCCATCCCAGCAAAACTTCGCTCCCTTCCTTTAAATCACCTCTCAAAAATATCTATTGTCTAAGTATTAATATTTCTTGAAATACCTACTTTATATACCTGCTTTTATTGTAACACCAAAACCGTTTTATCGGAAAGTATCATGTAAATATATAAGAAATTGCCATTGCAATAAATATATTTGCCAACTAGACATAATCCTGACAGCTCTGTCCTCTTGTTCAACCTTAATACTGTACAGCCCATGTTGTACTGGTTCTCCATTATATTTATGTTTTTCAATTCCACTGAAATTTATGTACAGTATACACTTATAATATAAATTTAAAAATAATAATGATAACCGAGGTAACATGTTCTTATTACCACCATGCTATGTGTACTATTCCAGATGATACTAAATGTTACATAATACTTCCTTGAGATAAATGTATAGTATATATCAGGTGCAGCTAAGGTTCTCAGCCATGTTAATATTGTTATTATTATCCACTCTGTATCTGTGTTTTTCTGGCTAAATAAACTGTTTCAATTCAATGCAATTCAACTTGATAAGCTATTAGGCAGCCTACCAGGTAGTCTCCCCCCCCCACACACACACTACTACTACTACTACTACTAATAATAATAATAATAATGATAATAATAATACTTTTCTGTCACTCGAAATCAAGTGTGACGATCATCCAGCTATGATACAATGATATGAGTTACTAAGGGTGTCACCTTCATTGGTGAGTTTTAAAGTTAATAAAGAGGCTGATACGGGACCGGCAGAGTTGTTCACAGATGTTGCACATGTGGAGAGGTTACATCTAATGCGGGAGGGGGTGGGGGGGCGGCAGCGTCTTATCGAAGTTGGCGCTGTCTGCTTCGGTTTGAAGTCGGGCTAACTCGAAAGTATTGGTACCTTCTCGTGTGGTGATCCTCCAAGCGTTACGGTGTGGAGTAATCGTCTCCCAGGTGAGGGGGTCGATTTGGCACTTTTTCAGGTTTGTCTTAAGACTATCCTTATACCTTTTCAGTTGCCCGCCAGCGTTACGTTTAATATTCGTTAGGTGACTGTAAAGTAGCTGCTTTGGCGGTCTACTGTCGTCCATGAGGGTAACATGGCCGGCAAACGTAGTTGTTCATGGATAATGGTAGCCTCGATGCTCGTACATTTGGTGTCAGCAAGAATTCTGGCATTTGTTCTCTTGTCTTCCCAGTGAACTCGGAAGATGGAACGTAGACTACGTTGGTGAAAGTTTTCAAGTGTCTTGAGGTGCCTCTTGCATGTAACCCATGTCTCGCTGCCATATAGCAGAGTGGGGAAGACCACTGCTCGATATACGTTCAACTTTGTACAACTTTGTAGATAATTTCAGCTCCCTACAGCTGAAGACACGGGTACGGAGTCTGCTAAAGGCTTGAGATGCACATCTGATCCGATGTTGAATCTGCTCATCGATGTCCGCGGTGGTGGACAGGTGGGAGCCGAGATACTAAAAGTGGGTAACATTAGAGAGGGTAGTATCGCTAAGGTGGATGGATGGTGGTGTGGCTGAACCAGGGGCAGGTGAAAAAGAATCTGAATCTTACGTACATCCACCTAAAGACCGAAGTGTGCATACGCATCTGCGTTGTTGTTCAGGAGCTCCTGCAGGTCGCGTTCAGTGTGAGCGACAAATGTGAAGTCGTCTGCATACTGAAGTTCAGTAATAGAAGCTGCCGACTCCTTTGTTACTGCCTGGAGTCGTCTTATGTTGAAAAAAACCTTCATCTGGTACTGGATGTCCACCCTGCCGGCTAAATTGGCACTGGCATGAGTGGGAAAGGCAACCAAGAAAATGGAAACGAAAGTTAGTGCCAGTACACATCCTTGTTTTACCTCCGTTTGGATGGGGAAAACTCAGACTGGGTGCCATTGTGCAGGACACTGCCGTTCATGCCATCGTGGAGTTGCCTCACAATGGCTATGGATTTTGGTGGGCAGCCAAAATGGCTATGGATTTTGGTGGGCAGCCAAAATGGCTGAGGGTCCGCCAGTCAGCCAGAATGCTTCCCTGCTGACCGAGTCGAAGGCCTTGGTTAGGTCGAAAAGGACAATGTACAGTCAGCCAAAGATGCACCGGCCCCACCCTGGGTCTCGTAGTCGCAATTTTAACTGGCAATACTTGGTAAAGGAAGGCTGTATGTAATGATGATTGGTGGATCTGTTTTCCGCTGTATCACTGTCAGGATAATTATTAAAGAAACCAAAGGTAGAATTTTTATAATAATAAACTATTCATTGTTATTTAAGATAATGAGAAGTTTCCAAATGTTCGCAAATCTGCTTAAATAATGAAGAAAATTATATTAATGAATTAGAAACTCAACTACAACCACAGCTGCATCCAGTGTTAGGGTGTATGCCCTGATGAAAAAGGCATGACGTGAGTGATTCAGTGGGACTCGGAGCGTCATGAGGCGCTGGTTGATCCCAACAGGCATTTCAGTTAGCCTGTGTAGGATGCGTTGGCGGATGGCAAAACCAGCTCTATAAATGCAGTTTACTTCCACAGCAGCTCACCCTTCCAGAAGAAAGTATACAGTAGCCAGACTCCCATTCTGTGAGTCGGCCCTCATCTGGGAGCCGGGACTCACTAATGGCTCCTCTTTTGCCACAAGGGCAGCTCTTCTTTCAGGATGCTCATTTGTGTCAGTTTCCAGAAGGATCCTGATATTCCATACAGCGACCATAAGATGTTGTATAGTTTGTTTTTGATTTGATCTGTGATTATAATTGTGTTTTCGACCGCATAAGGATGACCTTTTCTGGGTACGGTTGCCCAGTCAGCTTAGTTCTCTGCTGCTGCTGCTGCCGCTGCTGTAAAGTCATACCTCTATTTAACGAAGGTTTATTATATGTGAAAAATCCATCTAACGAGCTATATAGAGATGAAAAGCCTGTTATAGTAAGGATCCGTTAGATGTAGAAACCCGAATGTAACGGATTACAGTATATGGAGAGAGAAGTCCGTTATAAAAATATTTCAATGACGTTAAGTTGGAAAAAGTAACCTCGTTAGTTTTTTCTACACAATAAAGTTCATAGCATCAGGAACATCACTTGTTATTACTTGGTATACGTTTAAAA